GGCATGCTTTTTAATAATATCATAATGAGTATATTCTACGTTGTATAGTGCTAAATAATATGCCATAGTTGCAGCCACACAATTTGATGTGTTGAGGTTCAGGCTGTTTGCACTAACAATCTGGTTAACCTAATAGACTGGCCACAGAGTGTATGTTACATTGATAATGGTCTACTACTGAATTAACATGGCAAAGAAAAGCAGAACTTCACTGTGTGTAGCTCTGGAAGCAATGGGAACTTTAACTGGACAGGAGAAGCTATGTTTCCCACCTTCTGTTGAGTGAAAGCTTAACGAGATTGTTCATGAGTTGTTAATGAGGATAATTACTACCTTGGTTTTTCACCAACGTCTTACCGCAAACACGTCCAGCTGCTTCTAGTCATGTGCCAATTTTCAGTCATTTCATTTAATAACAGAACAATGAAACAACATAGATCCATAGTCTCAAACCTCTAAACTTTCCTAACCCTAAACAAATAAATGTAGACAGTTATAACTATGACTTGATTTATAACCAACTGCTTGAATGGAAACCATTTTCAAACAGAGCAGCACTTTGTCACGCCCACAGCGGCAGGCAATCACCGCCTAATTAAGTCCTCTACTTAATGCGGAAGCGACTTCTCTGAACTCGTGAAGTATTGTTGCCATGGTACTGACACAAACTGAGCGTTTGTCCATTGTCTGCCTGGCTTACCTTGCCGGTCTGCTCTCGTCACTCCTCCATTCCTTTCATTTCCTCGTCCCGTTACTGAATGTAGGATTGACCCTCCCGGCTACTGACCCACCGTGACCAACCCGACCTCTCTTTTGGATTTGCCCTCTGGATTTTGGTGTACCCGGTTCTCTGAATAAAGCGTTCTCCTGCATTTTGGGGTCTGCCTCTTCCCGGTTTGCGAAGTCTTACACCAGGGGTCTCCAATTCTGGTCCTGGAGAGCTACCGTCCAGTAGGGTTTCAATCATACCCGGCTCTGATGAGCCACACCTGTTCTCAGGTAAATACCAGGAGCAGGTGTGGCTCATCAGAAGCTAAGTGGGACAGAAAACCTACTGGATAGTAGCTCTCCAGGACCGGAGTTGGAGACCCCTGCCTTAGACAGTTATAAACCTCCTGTTGAGCTGCACTTTCTCAATGGTCTACAGCTTTGGGTAAAATGGCTTCCCCAGAATGGTCTTACTCTTCTGGAAATCCTGTTTGCCTCTATGCAGGGAGTCACAGATCCGCTCCCACGCATCCAAATGGATCTTCCAAAAATCCACGTGCCCTTGGATGGCTTTGGAAACATCACTCTTGCTCCCATTGGCCAGGCTGATGCTATTGTTTACAATGGAAAAGAGGTCCAGCCCAATCAATGCAGAATTACCAGCAATAAAAGCTGCCCTGGAAGGCATGGAGAAGGCAGTGGGGGCTGCTTTGGCAACAGTCAATTTAATCCTTCTGCCACAATCCACAGCAATGTCAACGGTCCTACAAACACTGCCAACAGTGCCACCGTCACAGTCATTCTCCACTGATGGATCTTTAATGATAATCACTTGGGCTAGACATTTATATATGGGCTCCAAATCCCCCAAAACCTTCTGATATATTTCAGTGAACTTCTGTTTCTCCCGAGCATTAATTGCTTCTTCAGTGATGCCTGTAGTTAGTCTGTTTGCACCACTAACAGCTCCCAATACCCCTCCAACCAGAGTGAGTATGGTGGATGCCCCCAGTGTCACTGGGGCCAAGGCCAGCCCAACTATGGACACCACCCCACCACCCACCCCCACAGTGCTGCCAACAACACTGGAGATATTCGCCCCCTTCTTCATCTTGTCGAGCTGTACTGCACACGCTTCCATCTGTGCCAGGGATCCCAGGATCTTGGTTTTTTGTTCACTGAGGACGTCAATGAACTTAAGAAACTTTTCTTCATTTCCGAACATGAAAGTCAGTCTGAAGTCCTCATTAGCCCTGAGGGGGGAAAATCCTTTTTAAATAAGTAAAAAGGCCGTTATGATTCTAAAAGACTTTGGCTTTAAAACTTTTAGAAAGAAAAGTCATTTGCTGAAACCAATTGTATGTTATAAAAAATAAATGCAAAAAGTAATTTAGCTACAAAGATTAATATTTATTTACCTGATTTTGCTCAAATCGTTGACATGGTTACTCATCATTTTGAGAGTGTCAGGTCTTAGGTAAATGTAGGACTCGAGGCAGGTGTTTTTCCCCCTATGGGAAAATGGGACAGAAATAAAAGTGTAATGCAGCATCTTATGTTAAAGTCTCACCAAATTCCTATAAATATTTTATTACAGAAAAATCCCCTCACCAGAATTTAATCATTTGTTTTGTTTAACCATGTTCAGGCCATTTTCATACCAAAACCACTTACCCAGAATTCCATCTTGGGAATACTTTATTTTTGCACCTATGGATAAAGACATATTTGAGTATGGTTAAGTAACTACACAGGGGGCAGTTGGAGCAATAACAACAACAACAGGAGACCAAATGGATTTGAATATTTGTTTAAAGGAAATGTACATAAAATCGCGTTGAAGGTGTTTTGCCAAAAGAAGCCTTGTGACGTATCAGGGGTATTAATCTGCATGCGTCACGGTTGATTTAATATAAATATGTCCATCAGTACAAGTGTGAAATACATTTCTTGAATATGTTGAATATATCTAATATTGTATTGAATATAAAACAATATGATAGGAAATATAAGATTTACATTGTAACTTAGTGTTATATTGAAACTATTTGCATAGAGCATCCGATTGTTTTTTTCTAGCAGTTTGTAAAGTCGAACTAAGGGGCAGTTTACATCCACCTTAGGTTACAATGGAACCAGTGCTTTACTGTTAGAACCCACTGCACACATTCACCAGATTAATAGCATGATTATTGTCTTAACAAGAAAGCATCAGCGGCAGCATTTGTCCTAAAAACATATGTTTT